AGTCATCTAGATTTTCGAAAATTAGAATTCAGCCCCTTAGTCGTACAGACAAAGACTCACAGTGAACGTCAAGTGATACTGCAAACAAGAGTGAACGACTAAAATCTTAGTACTTCACGTCACATTTGTTCATTCTGTTGGTCGAAACGATTCAAAAGTACCTGATGTTCATTGGGAAGCAAACCCAGTTCCTGAATTTGAGTAACTTTATAATTGGGATATTACTACAGGGTTCCAAATAATGTGCGATCTATCTCACTAACATGTGTGTTCATTCATTTTACAAAGCATGGTTTTATTTGTTGACGTTAATTTCGTTTGTTTATTTAATTCGAAGTAATAAATTAAATTCCTTATTTTTATCATCAGATTAAGTTGTTACGCTTTCAAGCAAAAAGTAAAATTAATTCAGAGCAATTACAATTTTGAAGAACAACTGCCTATTACTGTTATTTGATGTGCACATGTACTCTATAAATTAATAAAGTTTTCACTCTGGGAACTAAGTTTTTTTATTATCAAATTCATGGAGTAGATAGGAGTCATTTCATTGGTTAACCTATCACAACAGTCTACCATGAAATGCTATCAGTGCACTACACAAAATCGTCGAAAACATATTGAAATGCACTTTCTATGGGAGGAAATTTTAAAATTAAATCTTCGATAATCATTTACGTCGATGAAATATTACTTATTGTAATATAAAGTGGTTTAAACCAGTGACTTCATCACGAGTTAGGTGCTCGTTATTGCTGAAACCGAAGCAACACGACTTTGGTTATTACTTTCCAACTACTGGCTTTAAGAAACAATTTTGTAAAGTTGTTTTTACTCAGTATCTTATCTTCTACCTTTTTATATTCACTAACCGTTTTACTATTTTCTCATCCCTTTAGATATTTGAAATTTTCAAATAGTCTGTCATTGAGTAAAAGTACAATTATCTATTGTCTAACCTGCTTTAAAAAAATGAATTATTTGTTTTAGAAATGGTTTCGTGATAGATAATTTATAGTTAAGTCATGTGAATCACTTATAATTTCGTGATATCTGAATATTTTGTTGAAACAATGGACATTTAATCGCAATTATTGTTTGGTTTCCATTTCGACTAATTAGACTGTTGTTTAAAACAATAGCTATTTTGCCAACTCAATCACTTGAATTTTTTGCTTACTTGGTTGCTAAAGCTATCACTATGAGAACAAAACACGACAACAAATAAATAAGATTTTAGACAACTTACTACATTAAATTAAGTAAACCAAGCTGGCTTCTGTATAAATTTTTTGAATCATAAACCTTGGTATTCAAACAGGATCACTAAATATATTCCATGTTTTCTTCAAAGTTGCTTGTATAGTATTTCACTTGTAAGGGTTTGAATCTTCTTGTTTTCTCCGTTAAGGGCTAAAATTGATCAGTATCTTTTGTTACGCGTGGATCCTGGGTGGATTGCATCAATATTGTCAAGTCATAAGGATTTTAAACAAAACTAGATTTTAGTTAACAGTGAAATCTAAGATGTGCGTTTCATCCTATTTAGGACTCATCAAATTGGTGTACCTGCACAACGTTCGACCTATTAGTTTAATTTACAATCAACTTGATAAGCAACGCTTACATGCTACGTGTTAGCAAAATTTATTATTAGAACTGCTTGGGAATTGATCAGAAACGACGTAACTTAGAGTGCACGTGGCGGGCGTAATGAGGTCACAGTATTTGATTTCAGTTTATTAGTTTTATAGTTCAAATATGATAGCCTCTGTATTGAAGTCAAAATACCTTTATATAATTCTCAATTTAAACTGGTAAAGTCGAGCTGTAAATTTTTCCATTACTTTTCTAGTAAAGCATATAACAAGAATATTCAGCACTTCGACTTTCACTATTATTCTTAGTATTTGTTAACCAAACAATTTTCTTCAAAATTATTTCTATGATGTCTGTGAAAATAATATATATCTTGTGACACCGACTTGAACTACCAATGTACTTTGAAAGTACTGAATGGTGGTTATGTACGCTTCGTAATAGTAGTACTCCTAAGAAGCTTTGTCTTAGAGTAAAGAAATTATTCATTGTGCGACTGCGTGCTAGACTTTTAATTCAGAATAATCGAAAATTTGTAGAAATTAATCATAATAAGAGTTTGCAATGTGACGTTTGTTTTCAAAATGAGTCTGGTTAATCCCCAACTGCCACTGTAACATGAGAAAATTAACATTCATCTTCCAGGAAAGCATTATTTATATCCGAAGGATTTTAGCCCCATATGCTCATCCATTTTTTTAAATATTACCTAACACTGCAACTGACAAAATAATTATTTTCAAAAACACTCCAGAAACATGTAAGATTTTCATTGCCGTTTCATCCGCAAATTTGGTCGTCCTCACGTTTAATTTGTAGTCTTTTCATATGAAAAATTAAGTCGATTGGAATTTCATAAAGTATAAGTTTGCATGGTGATAGTTGGATCGCTGCACAAGGTATACGGTAGCTTACTAAATAAAGGCTTGAAATGAATAGAAGGACATTTTTTGGTTACCTATGTTTCGATAGCTCATATTGCACTTCATTGTTTTAGACTTCCTTGAGCTGAGTAATTATAAGCACTAACTGTAAGTACTTATCCGCTACTTTAATTATTGGCATTCTTAATTTTCGGAAACCCAAAGGGACAAACTGTCAATATTAGTTTTGAAAGAACAAGGGACGGATACATTAGAATCCACGCATCTTATATATGATAGATGGGAACGGCTGTGTTGATAAGAAACCTATTAGAAACTATTAGAATATATTTCTCAATAGTTACAATTTGAAAACATGGTGAAGCGAAATTTGTTCTCATAGTCCTCAATCGATGATAATCCTTCACTGTAACAATATTTATTGCATTATATAAAGCTATTATTATTTCAGTTGTAGTTGGAACACTTGTGTGTCAATAGTTTCCTTTTTATTTATGAGGAAATAATGTCAAACTGTGTTGGTGCAGTTCACAACTTGACTTTTCTGGGTATGATTTTATTCATTAACCATCAGAAGGAAGATTTCCTCACCACCCCAGTATTTCACATATTCAATTAATAATTACTAAAGTAATTATTGTAGTTTGTAAATCAATATTTAGTCGAGAAAGTTGACAAGAATCAATTCTTTATATACATTTCTGAATATGAACATTACTAGTGGAGTGAAAGTTCATATAATGTAAATCAGTTTTAGGTGGCAAACATTTGAAAGTGATTGATTTCAAACAGCACAGTATTGTGCTGCAAATTGTTGTCAAGAATTCATTATATAAAGTCATACTTTATTCCAAGAACTTGAGGAAGTCTGTTGATCCAAGTTACCTGGTATCATCAGAGACAAATAAATCATTTACACTCTAGTTCCCAGATCATTTTAAACAAAGTCAGTTCCTTAGTCGGAAAGTCACCACCATCTTTAAGAAGAGCTGGAGGTAAGTCATCTGGGCCCGGTGATGTGTATCGCTTCAAGGGTTCGAGTTCCTTGCGAACTTCCGCCTCATTTGGTGGATCAGTCGTCACCGGCATGACAGTCTGACCGATGTTACCGGATCAGCAGGCCAGTTGAACTGCCCTTCGAAAAATTCTGCCTATCGTCCAAGACGTCGATGGGTGTTAGTGATTGGCATTTCGTCATCCTCACAGATTATTTCGCTCACACCAGACTTCTTGCTGCCAGTTGCTTGGATGAGTTGGAAGAGCTTCCAGCAGTTACGAGATGCAGCTGCTGATTCCAGCTCATTAGCACGCTGCGACCACCAGGCTTCTCGCTCCTTACGCAAGCTTTGCCCAATTTCCTTACGTAACATCCTTCGTTTGTGGTCAAACTAACGGTCACCCGGCGTAGACCGACGGGCTTCAATGAGTTGTAAGGAACCTGAAGAAACCCAGTGCTTATAAGCGGGACGTTTCTCGAAGCCGCAAGCGGCTTTCATGGCATCATGCAATTGCAACCAATGCTAATCTATAGTTTTCGGTGGGATGGTATCTAGCCTTCAACCTAGCTCGGTTTGATATTTAGTTACAACAGAAGCTGCAATCAATTTACTGACATCCATGTGTTTAGGACGATGAATTTGTTGGCCACTGAAAAGTGCGACATGAACATCAGCAAAACCAGACTAAGGTGCCACAGGGTACCCGGACAAACGGACATGAAACGAGCTTTTTGAAGCCACAGATGGAGAGCGAATTTGTAGCGCTTCACTAGAGTCTTGGATACCGGTCTCGGATAGAAAAAACTTCGATATTAAGATTTTCCGAAGACATAGCCAGCTCTCTCTGTAGTCTGACTTGCATAAATGTGCGAACGTTGAAGGCAGCCAGTTTGAATGGTGCACGTGGCAACAGAGAGACTGCTTCAGTATTCGTATTTGGTGGTAGCATATAATTTTCAACCAGCCAGTGATTCGAGAACGTTTAGATAGAACCGAATCTCCACCATAGGCGAGCTGCTGTATAAGTCGAAAAATAAGGACATAGGGTGGGAATAAAAGAAAGTGAATAAATGACGTAGTAAATAATAATGTGATTCTTTTGATTTTTAATCGAAACAAGAAAAATAGTTTCCATAATTATCCGCAGCTCATCATATTTCTGTGAGGGCTGTGATACTGCTTGGGTGCCCAGACCAAAGCAGGTGGTTTTGTTAGGAGACCAACCCCCGACACTTTGACCTACAGGTCTAACCCACAAGGCAGTGGAGCATCGTGAGGAGATGCGGCCTCATGGTAGCCGGTGACCAAAAATTGATTCATACGCCATTTGTTCCCGCAGGATACTTGAGCTCATGTGCACCATTGGTTTGGGACCCGGTTAAAGCGACGGACATTCGCTTTTCGTCCTGTCATTTTCGTAAACAACACCCTCGTCACCAGAAGGCGGTAGGTAGGACTTCCCTGGCAGAGGCTGTATGTGCGTGGCCGTGTGAGAGCATTTCGAGAGGGAGGGCGAAATTCATTCACAAACCAACGCACTAAAACTGATAAGGCTTTTATAATGTGAAAAAGTCAGCGGATTTCACTACCTCAGTACCATTTAGTGAAGCTAGGTGTTCATGCAGACAGTTTTCTTCTGGAAGTCCTTCGAGTTAATTTAATTGCAATATAGTCTATGTGCTTCCATCGTCGGTTTGACTTTTTATCTGCCTAAAGTTGTTTCATTCTAAGATCTAATGGTTATCGAATTATAACCATAACAGAAAATCGCAGTTATCTATCCACTCAACTTAGATGTCAAACAATGCGTTCAAGTATCTTTCTGTATGACTTACCCTACCAACCTGTTTTTTAAAATCAACAACAATTAGAGGTATGTGGTTGGCGTACATGTACCAGCTGTTCACAGAAACGAAGATATTTTCTCGAGGGACCTGGTGAGAAAACGTATTGGTAGTGGTTGTCTTGTCGATCTGCGAGCATGGTCATAGAGCTCGTTGAATGATTTTGTTGTCCTAACTCGGACTACTGGCCCTATAAATCCATCAGGTAACCTAAGGTGTATTGTTTTGATCAACTTTATTTACTCCTCTCATTTGTTGCGGTATAGTGGCAATACTTGTGATTCTCGGGCCTTAGATTCACCGCCTTTTTTCTTGGCGCTATCCAACTGATTCACTGTTGGTGTAAAAGTTCAAATGTTTCAGGCAACATAACTTGATTAGATCATAATGATAGGCAAGCTCAATCATCGTATCAAGATACTAGCTGCAGTTCACATTGTGAGTTATTTTCGTCCAAAGAACCATTACAGATGAGTCTTCCATAGTTTACCACTGCAATAAAAAACTTTAATCATTTTTCCAAGAACCAAAAACAAGAATGTATCAATCACATCTAATCGTCTTCATATTTCTATTTCAATCAACGATGCGGTATTGTGACTATTTTCATATTTGCTGTATAATTTACTGAAATGACCTCCGAGGCTTATCATCAGATTTTCGTAAAAATATCTAGAATGTAAGTGAATCGTTATATCGGTTAGTTGGGTTTGAAAAACTTCTTTTTTTGAAGCCATACTCAAAGATGCAGTAACAAACGTCAACATACCGTAATGAATAGTCAGTTCGTCAAATAACCTCTGTCAGTGCAAATAAGTCGGTACTGGATAACAGCTGATTTCAAACATGAAGTACTAAAATAGATCTTGGGCACTGAGGAACGTCCAATTGGTTTATATTAAATTAAGAGTGCAAATTATATTCGAATTAAGAAACTCCCTTTCTAAGTGTATTTAATTTTATTTGTCCAACTAACTGATTAAAAGTCGTTTCACACACAATTAACAGAATTGAGAAAATTGAGGAAAAATTGTCACTTGAATCAAATAAGCAGACAGAAACTGAACTTACTTTAAGGAAATTAATTGATCAGGTTGAACTTATGAAACTTGCTGCTTCCAATTCGATGCAAACTACAAAACCAATATCTGTGAAAAGACAAGGACATCGGAAAACTTCAGTAAGTCAGAGTAAATTTTTTGTGAATCATAAATATTATTATTTTTTAGTTAACTAATGAAGATATTTCCAACGATCGAAGTTAATTTTTATGCGTAAATAGTAATTTGTTAGTCAAATTATTGTTAATGTGAATACGTTTCTACTGAATTTAATTTTGAATGTCTATTCAGAGAATATTTGATTTGGCTTATTAACTCACCAGTGATTAACCGTATTTTGCAATTGATCTACATTAGGTTTAGTATGATTTATCAGGAGAGGAATCTAGTTGTTAACACATTTATAAAGATGCCAAACTTGGTATTCTCAAAAAATTAAGCATTTTTTCCTATTTTAAAATAAAATCGACTAGGCCTACATTTAATATCTTACTAAATCCTCATACTTAGTAGATCTAAACTGCCAATTTTCAAAAGTGACTTAGGCTAAATAAAGTAACTAAATTGCCGGATTTTTGTTTCCACTCAATGTCCTTCATTAAATGAGTGTGGAGAGTTCAAGACACATTATATTTGGTAATTTTAAGAAATCCGGGACGCGCGTTTCGTCCTATTTGGGACTCATCAGCTGGATGTACCTGAATCCCAGAGTTGATGTTCACTCGAGGACTTGAACCCAATACTGTTCGCTTCAAACGCCAATCAATCGCAGTGCTAAGCATCAATGGAAAGATTCAAGTAAACAATACCAATTGAATTTATATTTCACCCTCATTGAGCAGGCAAGTAGCTATTAGGACTCCGTAGCTAAGTGGATAACGCTATGGCGTTTGAAGCGAACGGTACTGGGTTCAAGTCACAGAATGAACATCAACTCTGGGATGCAGGTACACCAGGCTGACGAGTCCTAGATAGGGTGAAACGGTCGTCCTGGATCCCACTACCAGCCACGATTCATCTTTGCTTATAATGATTGTGAATTAAGGCAATATCGAGATAATCCGTACAAGACGCACAAATGCCAATAGGAGACTGATCAACTGCAGTGCTACACATCAATGGGAAAATCCAAGTAAACAATACTCAGTGAATTTAATCACAATGATATTTATTACCGTCTAGTATACTTTTTCTAGTTACTGAATAAGAAGAAATAATTATTTATACAAAACTATAACTAATAATTTTCTTAGATAATAACAGCAGGTTGTAAAACTTTTCTTCTGTTGCTAGTTTTAAAATGTATAGGTCCAAGTGAAAATGAATAGAGACAGAAATTCGACGATCGTATACATGAGCTAGAAAAAGTGTTTGATCTGCATTAAGTGTTTCAAAACTGCATACAATTTAGGCTACTATTCAATCCAAAATAATTGCTGATTTACGTATTGGGCCAACATAAGCATTGGAAAGCGAGAAAATGTCTTATCTGGAGTGCAGAGCATTATGTCCAGGTTTGAAGTAAAATGTAACAAACTACTGTACAAAAAGTTGTACAGATAAGTAAATTACATTAATTTTCTAACCAGATTTTGAGTTGAAGGACGAGTGATAATTAAGCGCAAAGTTCAAGAAGTAAACTGCTGCAATCTCTTTGTGAAGGGTGAATTAGTTTATTCTGTTTATAAATGTAACTGTCTGAATGAATTTGTTGATAATTTGTTTTGTATTTAACTAATTTATATGTACTCCATCAGGTGTTTTGGAACGTGCAATCAATATCCGTAGGAAATTTTACTTAATGTTTTCAGTGCTACAGCCCTCACACAAATCGAGTGATGAAGGGCGGCCAATGTTTATGTCTATATGCTTAAAGAAACAAATAAATAAAACTTAAATTATGGATTTTTTTTCAATGTGCAAAATTAAAAACGTATTTTTATTCTGAAATAGTTAACTACGTCCGGAGTCCCGTATTCACAGAATGCGGATCAAATATTGAACCCAGGTGCCTTTACATGCTCTGATGAATCGTCGTCTGGTAATCTACCTAATCTGTCGAAAAGTGAGAAAACACCCAATGTAGTCTATACTTATATTGATAATTACCTTAAAGCCTGGTAGGTTTAACTTTTATGAATTTCTCAATAAACATTTTGATATTTATCTATAAAAAATTCTTTATTCAAGATAGAAAATGTCTAGTAGATATAATCATGTTTGGGGATTCTGTGACAATTTTGCAATTAAGTTATTCAAGATGATTGCTTAACAAAGTTTTCTTACTTGAGAAAATACGTGAGCTGTTGCGTTGTTGACTGTTATGTTATCATATATAGTTGTTTTCCAGTCGTAAAGAAGTTATCGGATTATCCTGAATCGTTAACCTTTGTTCTTTCGCTCCAAACCTTGTTTTTTTATCACTCAGGGCAGATGATTGAAAAAGCCTTCAGAAATAGTAAAACTTGTTGTTTTAGTCATTCTATTCTATTTAATAGTTTTTTTCGCTTACCAGAAAAAAGTTATTCAAATCTCATTTTTATCCGCCATCCTATCATTTGACTGGTTGAGGCCACCTGTAGTGTCCAGTACAATGCCAAACCCACATGAGTTGTTCCAGTTTCTGTACAGACGAACCTATTTATTATGCCTGAGTCACATTTTGACCTTGCCAATTTTTATCCTATTAACCTTAGCCGCTTTTATATAACCGTACGTGTACCACTTACCCTACTCATCACATATCCTTAGCTTAATTTACTCTGGTTACAAATAGAGTTGACACAGTTGCCTTCGCTTCTAATTCTTAATATCTGCCAGAATTATTATTATTATCAGCTTTATTCAATATTATATTCTTGGTACAATATAGAATTCTCAGCGTAAAGTATTTCAACAAGTTTCCGTTTCTTTCTTCTTGGTCGGTCCTGGCGATAAATATTGAGTGATCGCCAGTTAGATGTTAGCAGTTCACTAAATGAACATCTGAATAATGTGCATTCTTTCCGTTATATATTGCCAGCAACCACATTGTCTCTTATTGAGTTTTTTGTAACTTTGACAACGAAAGGTTGTACACTTTTCAGAAACGCAGCAGAATAGGTTATGCGATTAATAAACATAGTGATATATTAAAACAAACAAAAATAGATAATTTGTTAAAATATTTATATGGAAGGAACAGGTAGCCGAGATGATCAAGCAGGCTGCCCTTGCCAAATAGACGAGTGCTTGAAATAAATCCATCCAACTCAGCCCGTATTTATTTTCTTATTACCGCCGTTGCATAAACGGAGTTAGCCTATGTGTAATATACGTATTTAGATGAAGGATTTGTATTCGTGGCATATTCACTACGTTAATCCAAATCAGAGTCAAATCTCAGGTCATTAAATCATTTTCTCTAATCCAAACAAACACTTTGACAATCCGTATTGTTTATTTTTTGTTTATTGACTTGATTTTTAATTCTTTTTACATACTACCTTTTAGTTTCAGATATGTGAGTCTTTTTTATTTCTTGAAGTATTTTTTTATTAACCAGTATTTCAATAAAGGGTATTCGTCTTGTGAGTCAGCTAGGATTTTTTCGTGATCATTAGGACAGCAGGGATAAATCACTGTTTACAACTAGCTTTCTGTGAGGACGGTCCACGGGTGAACTCGAGGAAGCCTTAAGAAGCTCAGAAACAGCCGAAGATATTCCATCCAATCATTTTCGGAAGAATATTCTAGAATCTCTACATGTAGCTTCCCGATTGGACAATGCTAATAAGCCCCTGTGTGTGGATTGGATAACTATAATGATGATCTCGTTTTTACTAAAAACTATAAATACCTGACAGTTTGTACTCTAATTTGACACTGTCTGGAATAACATTCCTTTCACTAGTCTTCTGTCTTCTCGTTGTGAATTGGAAGGGTTCTGGTGTTCAAGTGCTCAAGTTATACGCTTCATATCACGAATTATAGGCATCTAGATATATAACACTCACCAGCACAGTACGCTAATTTCTTGTAGGGCCCATATATTGTCATGAAAGACATTTGACAAACCATCCTATTATGTAGAAACAAAAAACATTGGTTCTTTGGTTATGTATGATTCAGTGCATTTTATTTATTATTTTTAATGGGAAGTTCGGAGTGAACTCCCTTAACATAATGTGTAATTATCAGACTTCCACTAGAGAAACTTGAATCTGATTTTATTTCTAACGTTTTAAATTTTCATAAAGTGTGTCAAGTGTTGAGAAGAAATTGTTTGGCAAATTAGACATCTGCTTTAATAAAATCCAATCACTTGAAGCACATGCAAATCAAAATAAAACTGAAGATGATAATAGACTGTAAGTTGTTTTATCTGCTCAAATAACACTGGATTAATTTTAGTTTGAACTATTTCGCTCCTTCAGATGTGAATTTTAAGGTGATTCGTTTGAATCTTTTGGTATATTCTGAAATTTATATAAGCCGAACAAATGTCCAAAAGAATGCTATAGATACTCAACTTACGATCAACTATTTTAAAGTAAACCTAGAAACCCATCGAACACACTCCATATTACTGTCATCGCAGTGCTGAAATGATGTAGGAACTTTTGTTAGTACCCACAACTGCTGTCGTTGGTCTAATCATTGGTTAGTAAACCGCTGATTGGCCTAATGGTAAAATAACTAGCTACTCTGTCGTCAAATTTGGTACCCTTACGACCGCTATTTGGGAACAGAAAACACTTTACTTTACCTTCTATCGGTTTCCGAAACTAAAAAGCGAACGGACAATTGCACAGGATAACCGCAAACTCTAATCGTTTGCACATTATAACAATTGCTCAGCAGTTAAGAATATGTAACTGGAATTTAATAATAACGATTAACAACATTAATACTATTTGATATTTTCCCCACTGATTCGCACTAACTAAAAAAATATGTAAACATCCGACACAGTACTTGGCGCGACTAAGATCAACCAAAAAGACGATTAAGCAAGAATGGCCGAGACTCTGATACGAACAAACAAAACTGTTAGTCTCAATACTGCTAATCCGTTGACACTGGGTTTCTTCTATCTTGCTTAGTAGGCATAATTATCTTGAGTAGGGATGAAAGCCATTATAAAACGTATTTGTGGTGAAGTGTTTCTAAGTTATCAAAAGGATCAATTAATCTCCTTAATTCGTGCACACACACACACAACTTTACAAAAATGTCGCTTATGAATCACTTTAACCAGAATGACTTGTTCAGATTGGTAGACAAGGTTAAATACTGTCTGTAAAGCGGCAATTGGCTCTTATGTGGTTTCTATGGTTTTCTGAGGAGAAATCTTTTTAAAACTCGTGGTCAATTTATCTGAACATTTTATTTGGGCCATAATTATTTTGAGCTGATTCCATCAAAGTATCTACATTTATGTTATAAGCTTTTTGTTAGATTCAACCTACAGTTCTGATTACATAAATACGTTTTACAATCATATCTATTTTAGGTTTCAGCCGCATTTGATATCGCAACTTAGTAAAGTTACTGAAGCCTCTTTACTAGTCTAAGTCGTGACAAATTTTTGGTGGTTATAGGCTTTGATGTGTCTACCCACTTCTGTGCAGCGGATAACTTGTCTAAATCTAGATTAAGACCTTGACGCGATAGGCTAACTGGCTTAACCTTGAGTTTAGTATGCGTAGTTCGAAGTGAGATTAACTGCTTGGGGTAGAGAGACGAAAACTATCCTATTACCTGATTGGCTGGGAATGAGTGGACAAAGTCAATTGGAACACTACTCAATTATTCCCGATTCAGATTGGTGTAAAAAGATTCATGAATAAATAAATGACTAACCAGACCACAACGCACAAACAACTAGGAAAAGACAATCACGTCCAATACTGGGGATTAGAGTAGACAATAGAGTACAAAAGATTAAGTTCAAATTACAATAGCTTTGGAACAGAAAAGGCTATGGCAGTGAATCAAACGAAAGCTTATGATCTGTGTAATAGACTAGGGACAAAAATAAATGTTACTGTTTTACAAGCTTTCAATTGAATGAAGTAACGTCGGCAAAATAGCTTCCATAGTTTGTCAAGGCTTCTTGTTTCTCTGTCCACATCAGGCTTACAGCTGTAAATTCTTGATTTTTATTCTCTTGCCTGTCATATCTGATCATTTATGATTCGGATTGCGAGAGGTGGTTAAAGAGCTTTTGTGATCGGCGGATTATTGATTTTTATTCATATGAAAACCGAGTACAGCATACGGTAGTTGGAGTGAAATTTGAGGCTATTTGGAGATCAGATGTTACATCACGAAGCTAATAACTCAAAGGCTGTATTTAATAGTATTGTAAGACATGAATAAAATAATAATAAGGCTGCTTGAATAATTTATGTGAATAATTTATTTTTTTACATGACTGTTTTATAAGACCCATATTCTACGTAATATTTCCACCTTATGGAATTTTGTAGGACGAATTCACAAGAAATCCATCTAAGTCCAGAAGAAAGTGGTTCAGATATGAGTGTTTGCTCTGAATATCAGGTATATTTTACTTTAGTGGTTGTTCGAATGAATGGCATTTACATCAATACTGTCAACCAATATTTTAATCGTCCAACTGCAGCACTCGATTTACAGTATCATTACTTCATTTGTCAAGGTTTAGGCAGTCACATCTTTAATAAATATCACAGTACACGTTGCTCATCGCCTAGTCCATGAACTTGTAAACTTAACCTCTGAGTTTGTATTGTTATCGTACTCTGGCAAAGTAGGAAGTAACTTGGTTCAGACGGAAAATTTATTTCGTTGTATTTATTTGCAAAATAATACTTTGATTATTAGTATTTATTTGTTATACTCCGGACCTTCGTGTTTAAAATATATGTTCGTCATTCTAACTGTATGGTGAATTAATTTCAATGTAAACCAAATAAATGTTTTGTGCCTCCAAATTATGTAAAAATGTATACACATTCAAAAGCACTAATAAGAAATTAGGCGCAATGATGGAATGATAATCTTGTAAAATAATAGAAGACGGAAAAGTCGTATACTCAGTAATTTATTGAACAAAAATATTATTTCATATGATCAATAGTTCAGTTAAAAATTACACCATGGTATGTTCCTTCTAACTAGGAAGGTTCATCTTATTGTGATGAAGAATGTGATAGAAATGATAAACTCCCTACTAGATTGTATCCCAAGTCGTGTTTGGTAATATTTCAAGCAGTTGAGTTGCATGATCTCTATAACCTCAACAAGGAAGTCAGTGAGAAATTAAAACCGCCACCACAAAATTCCTTTAGAGCTTTTTGTAGTGTCGGGTGTTATGTTAAGCCCACATAACTTATTCTCGCTTCCAGACAGGACAACTTATTCACCCTTCTTGAGTCACATTTCGACCTTAATTATTCGCTTATTAACCCTGACTTTTTATATGATCGTGTGTGTGTGTGTTGCTGAGAATTCTATATTGTACCAAAATATAATATTGAATAAAGCCATTAATAATAATTAATAATAATTATCATATTCCTCACATGTCTGTAACTTAGTTCTGGTCTGTCTATAAATATCGATTGACGCTTGATTAAATCGAGTTGGTTCACACGCCTCCACTGTGCATCGGTTCGCTTCGTTTCACCGATCGTTTATCTGGATCAACTATTGTATGAAATATATGTACTCGAAATCCATTCTCGTATTTGACTTATTTAACTCCGTTATTCACTTACGCAAGTTAAGTCGATAGATATATTCGAGAATTGGCGAAATGTATATTTCAATAACAATCATTCGTACAATCGAATTGGAGTCAGATACCCGGGCCACAAAAAATTCCGTCAATGGCAAACCTGGTTGGTGTCCATTATGATCAACGTCCAGGCGTTGAAGGTAGAAAGTTTAAGCTGCATATTGATTTCTGCAATACTTCAATCAAGTCCTATGTTTAATGATAGCATTAAAAAATTGACCCTAAAGCTACTTGAAGTCGTTTAGATAGGACAGAATTTTCAGCAAATACAAGACGCTATGTGGTTTAAAGGTTAAACTTAATGTAGAAAAAACTCATGCAAAATGAAATGAAGTAGGTTTGAAGCAATTTAGAATTTTCTTTTAATATTGCAATGAAAAAAAATCTTTTTGTGCCTAATGATACAAAGTATCAGGTTTATTTTGTCTACGTGCCATCATTCTGCTCTAGCGCTCAAACTAAGACACGTAGTTTTCTCAAGTTAAAATTCACACAAGCGTTTTGCATCTGGGTGTAATCCACAAGGTGGATCGATGAAATTGACAGTCACTGAAGCTGGCGACCAAAGTGAATTTATGCTCCATCTGTTCCTCTAAGATCCCAGAACCCATGTACACTGTTCCCAGCAGTCAGAGTTTCCCAAAATAATAACTGTATTCTGAGGTGTTGACGTTCACCCCCACCTTCTTATTGTTAGGAAGACCCAGAATATTCCTCTAAAAAAGCCTACCAGGCCCAAGTTCGCTAAACTCAAACCTAGTAAGATGGTGGTTTAGTCACGAGCTATGACTGATTAAGGCAAAACAAATTATTAGAGAAGTAATTCACTGATAAGCTGTCATTAAATTATATTTTCTTGGGTATTGTCAATGCCTAATCTTTTCAATCAGTCAATCACAACGTAGGACCAGGCACATATATGCATCGATCCAAGTTGCCAAACCTCATAAGCACAACAAGATGAAAACCAAATTCATAGAACCAGTTACTACAATAGTAGTAATATATAAAAGAAAGATCACATATAAGGATATAATACATGGAGAAAGGACTAGTTCGTAGACAGAAATGTATAAAGTAATTTTAATCTCATGGTTTAAGGAAAGACAAAGTGTGTATACACCTACTTCATTGTGATCGATCCTGAGCCATGTCACCCAGAGTCTCCAACCATTGGTTACGATAGTCTCACGGATCCCAACCAATTAGTCTGCATCTAACAATATGGCTCAGAACAAAGTTAGTGACTTTAAGCATTGATGCCACATTTTGGTTTCATTGCCAGTAACTCTCCTCCAATACTAGTCAGCACTGCGTGTCGTGGTAATCGGTGTTCAGGCATACGTGAGAAGTGGCCCAACCATTTCAGTCGATGAAAATTGACAACCTTATCAACTGGTTTACTACCATTTCCTTATACCCTGCGTCTAACCTCACTGCATCCATGCAGTTTTTTCGTCAGACACCTACTTATTAGGGCTGATCAGACTTACAAGTTAAGTGAAGCTGTTGACGCAGGCCAGTCCTGAAGCAACAACTTGTATTTAGAGGGGAGAAACGCATCCCCAAAATCCTGGCATTGTTGCTCTGTGCTATCAAAAGACCGCATTTTATCAGTGTTTTCATCAAATAGGACTGTGTCATCCGCGTATTCTAAGTCGATAAATGGATCTTCTGGAAGTAGATCGATTTTTGAAAATTCGGACGACGATAACGTCATTCCCAACAGTAAGTCAGTGATTAAATTGAACAAAAACGGAGATAGTGGCAGTCTTTTTGGACACCACTTGTGGTTGCGAAATCAGATAAAAGTTCTCCATAAGCTCTGACTCGACTTGTAGTGTTCGAGAAAAGAGCCTTCACAAGGTTTATGTACTTCTGATGTACATCTTTGAGTGACAGACATTGCCGCAGAACCTCCCGGTCAACAGAGTTAAATGCTTCTTTTAATCCAAGAAAGACCAACATTGTCGGACGCCGATAAGCATGCCTGTGTTCTAGGACGTGACGAATGGTGAGTATGTGGTCGATGCAGCCACAACCATGTCTGAAGCCAACCTGATTTTCTCGTGTTTGCATTTTAGGCTGTTTGGGAATGGTAAGTGGCTGAAGGTTATCTGAACTTCCTAAAGTGTTCCGCCCATCGTTCTAAACATCTGGACTGGCAGCAGATAGGAGTGTATCCTTTTTCCGAGATCGTCTCACACTTGTCTTCTTAATTCCATTTTCTTTTATTAGTCTGAAAAACTGTCTGGTGTTACCTACAGCCACTGCCTATTCCATCTCTCTTATTTTCGTTGCCCACCACTGCTCACGATCGTTCCTTAGACTTTTGGTTAACTTAGGTCTGATTTGTTTACGATCTTCATCGTGTTCAGAGCTTGATTGAATGAGTTTACGAGAATCAATCAGTGCAATAGACTTATTAGAAATCCACTGATTTTTTCTTGACCGTTTGGTTTTGCTGTTTCCACATCTGTTCGTATATCTTTTCAAGCAACATCTGAGTCAGTTTCGTTTTTAGAACTGCCTAAGTATGACCTCAGTCGTTCCTGGAACATACTTTTGGCTTTTATTCACTGAGTGCAACTCTAATGGGCATTCTTAATCTGATTTTTCTGCGTCCAGAGAGGCGGAAGCAAATGTTTGCTCGTAAGAGAGCATGGTCGGAGTCCAAGCATGTATCAACCCTCTCCGACGATGACTGATGGCAATATGGTCTATTTGAGTCCATCGTCGGTTTGGTGCAGGGGGTTGCCATGTCAGGCGATGTCGCTCCTTATGCTTAAAATTTATTTGCTAAAAATAAATGATTGTTTGAGCACAATCGCAGCAGACAATCATTATTATCTGTTCGCTGAGCCGGAATGCTAAAATATCAACCTAAATGTCTTTCTGTTTGGTTTAAGCTACCTAACTGTGCATTAAAGTCACTTGCAACGAGTACTATGTCTGAGCGTTTAGATTTATGGAGGAGTTCAGAAAGCTTTCCGTAAAAGTCATCTTTCATTTCATCCGGGCTACAGTCAGTGGGAGCGTAGGCAGAAACGACGAAAAGGCAACGATAGATGTCTCTATCTCTTCGAGTTATTACGGAGCCCTTTAGCCGAACAGCACATAGACGACTGTTGACGGGGATCCACTCTGACAGGGCTTGTTCCGCCCTCACGCTCAGGGCTATCCCTACTCCTGCCAGTCCACGAGAGCTGGCCATCGGGCCACTAGATACACGGAGGGTGTATCTCGTTGGCTCTCCGTTTTGCCGAGGTGAGGTCAAGTGAATGACCACACTGGGATCCTGTATGTGTGTTTCGGAGACACAGCATACATCAATGGTACGAGATTCTAGGGTTTTAGCCAAGGAAGCCTGCTGACCGATTTGACATAAGGTGCGTACATTGAAGGCTCCAATGTGTAGTGTGGAGCGAGATTTCAGTAGACCTGGGACAGTGTTTTGAGCACTCGAATCGTTGGCTATGGTGACATTTGAGGAGGAAGCTTAGAGTTGAAAGTCGATGTAGGAGGAATAATAGGAAGTGAAGAGGGAGGTTGATTATGAATACAGTGGTCTTGAGTGCTGTTAGAGGTATAAGGATGGTTATCACTTCCCGGTTGCCCACACCGTGGAAGAGTTTTTCTGGAGGTACAAGAAATGGAAATTAGATCGAAGGTGATCTTAGTGACCTGAGAGCGTGACCACAGTGCCCAAGGGACAAATGCTTGGGGTCGGTCACACACGACTTTTTCTTGAGTAGTTTTTGCGTTAGCTCCGTACTTGTTGAGACCTTACCTCCGGAGACGGATATCGGTTGGATAAAGGGAGGTGTGCATTTTTAGGGTCAACCATTTCTAACCTCACCTCTCCTTGTTGTAAGGCTGCATCGCTGTTTTGCTGGTGGTTTGAAGGAGACACTTTACTGCCTTCACACTTCTGTACAGTCAGCAGTACGAATCCGCCCTCAGACTTTGGGTTTGCTGCTTTTGGTCTTACAGTTCTTCAACCGACCTGTCTGGCATGGTGGGACATTGAGGAACGATTGTTTCAGCTACTATAGCTCAGTCGGTTCATTACGATAAGCAAGTCCGACCACCACTTGGGGGTAATGGCATACTGTGCTACCCCTACTATTCTGGCATTAGGTCTGATAAGTTCATCTCTCTGACTTATGAGTTGTGTTAACTGACGTACATACGTTAGAGTTTCTACGTTGTGACTGACTGACTTATGATTGATAGATTCTCCTGGAAAGAAATAATGATGTTGACAAAGATAAAATTAAACTTAGTTACCCTAGGATAATAGATTTATTACAGTTTCATATGCATACTATGATCATGTGCAAGCTTAGATTGTCATATTGCAGATGAATGTAACCACGGAGAAATATTTTAAGAAAATTTTAGAATAGAAATTCTCTAAACTAACATATTTTAGCAAGCTTTTTTGTCTTTCTGAATGCTTCTGTACTTTAAACAACAACAATTGGATGACTATATCTTTCAGAGATTCAAGGCTTTGATTTCATGATGGTTATTTTGATTACTACTATCCTTTAGCAACCATTTACTTCTATTGCAAATAATTTTTACAATTATTAAATGGGGAAACCAATGGTTTATCGATCTTTTTGGATATATATATATATATATATATATATATATATATATATCCTTTCCTTTTATGGTGTAATTACCAGTATTTACTTAACTATCAACAAGGTTACATTGGAGCAGCATAAAAGACGTTTGGAAGAAATGGAGAAACTAGTCAAACATTTTGACTCTCCTATAGTTAATGAAACTATAAAAAGTGTTCTAAGCTCTGAAATTAAAAGTAGGTAAGTATTTATCATTTGATTCACTGATTTTTGTCTGCACGAAATAAAAAACGTTCTGAAACACTACTTAATCACGTGTATTCTTAACGTGTAGGTAAACATATTTTAAAACTTGTACTGTTCTTTCTTAACCCCAAGTTTATGTTGCAGTGATTTTTAATCAGACACTTACATTTAACCTTGGTGACATTAAATATGCTAATGGTGATATCACTAATAAAAAATCTGAGATTTTCTTATTTATAAAGTTACTTTCATGACTGCTTATTAAAGTTCCCTGTGCAGGACTCATTAATAATATTTTTACTTCATACCTTATCATCATTTTTCTCAGGAGTATTAAAATTTCTAAGCAAACTTCAATTCCATTATACTTTGCCGTTAATAATATTCACACTCAAAGGTGTGATAAAATGAAGTGAAACTTGATGTAATTTTGTACTAATAAGTCTTACCTTCCAGTTACATGCAGATTAGAGGTCTCAATATTGATGGAAGATTTTTATTGCAAACTATCTACAACAACATTTACAGCTTTAGTAATTTGAAGATCGTGACCGATTTCGGGCTGATCATAATTGAGAAATGTTTTAGAAAAAAAATCATTTTGAGTAATATTTCGTAGTAGTGGAGCCATAGAATAACTAAAAAAGTCTTACACATATTAAAACAATTGTACTAACTGTTTAACTTGTGGATCTGTGTGCCCTGTATATTGGATAACGCAGCGATACCGCCAATCAGAAAGCAGTGAATTATCGATCGAACCAGTGACGCGTAAAACACTTGCGAGCAGCCTAGAGTCCTGATTGGTCTCGCTTCTTGTCTAGCCCAGCCAGTCAATCCAGAACACAAATCTCAGCCTCTGCAATATGAATCATTTATTTCAAACATACTCGGCTTATATATCAACCAGACAGACCACAACGTACCATAAAATATGGAACAACATTTGTACAATATTTAGCCAAAAGTGGCTGTAAATGAGGCAGATAGTAATTGATAGACAGGCCATAACTCAAGAATGGTAAATCGCATAATAATAGTTCATAGGTCAAAATAAAACTCATAATAAGAGGGACATGAATATGAACAGTTTAGTTACATAACAATTACGGGATAAAAATATACTCATAGCGTTGATCCATAAATGGATCCCAAAAATTACCATTCATTATTCTTATCGGGATATAACACTAACGTTTACACCTAACCCACAAACTTATAAAAAGATGGCTTGACATATCTTTTGCCACAAGCACCATCATAGCAAATTAACATGGTGTATGAAAATGACAAGATTCTTATAAGGTGCCCTATTTCACTTTCTGTCAAAGTTTACATAGGATTTCCATTGGTTTACAGTTACGTTTGACATTCTGAATAAATATGTATTTTTATTAGCTTAAAAATGATCAAGGCTGCTAACATCATATATATGGTTTTTTGGTAAACACTCAGAAATAGGTAAAGAGGTAAACAGCATGATTAGTGACCACAGGTTTAACACAACGAAATTCAATAACTTGTACAAATACCAACACCAATAAACTTTTTGTATTTCAGTTCACCAATAACAAACGGTGGTATGATCACAAAATAAGTTTTATGGACGGTGAAATATTTTCGCTGGATTTATTTCGTTTCCCATAAACTACACTAAGTTTGCAGTAATTCTATAAGTATCTTCCATTTTTTAGTTAAATGTTTTAATGACTTTATGCTTTCCTGGAGATTTAATAAATTACAAGTTAAATGGAACAAATCATTAGGTCTTTTATTCGTTTTATGCTGCAGACATCAACAAAATCGACAATTGCAAAAACTTTACACTTGTATAATTGAGAAGTTCCTGGGAATCATAGACAAATGGCAGCCTAATTTGAATAATCTTGAAATAAATTCAAATTCTGATGTAAGTTGTATAGATGTTTTCGCTTTGAGTATGTGTATTGATAACGAAAATAAAGAAGTGATTACTGTTTCTAATGTTTACACTTTGATTAATCCCAGAAATTATCCAAACTGACTGAACATAGATCCGGTTCCTATTGGTGAGATAAATGTTTTAATAAGATTTCGGTGTCCAGTAACTAAGAATCAGTATCAACTATTGACCCTAATCGAATTAAAATATCGGAGCGATGAGTTATATATTAACATTCCTTAATGCTACAAAAAAATTTCACATAAGAACCCTAAGTTGTATGCTGAATGACTACTAATATACTAAGTAAATGGATGCCAATTCGTATTCGTGACATAAAATAAAGTTGATTCATCATAATTCCATAAAAATCTAGGTTTACAGAATAACCTCTCTTAGTCACTGAATATCCAATGTTTCTCATTTTTCCGAATACTTAGATTGACTTTTTGACTGAGGTGGTTTAATTATCATAGGCTCTTATTATTAGGTTGAATCCGTGAACACTGCTGAAGCAATGGACATCGGCTGATAAACCGCTAAACTTTTGGAAACAAATATATGTGAACTATGATTCCTTATGATTGACTACTTTTGTTGCTTATTTGATGAACAGGCTTTCGAAAAATTTGATCATCATTAATTTATGTATCTATTTTCAGAATGCTGATTTGAACGGGTCTGATCGTTCTGTGAATGAATCGGAAAATAATAACTCTAAGCTGTAAGTAAAGTTGTTACACTTTTTAAAGAAAATACAGTTTGAATTCTTACTAAAGCTTTAGGTGTTTCTTGATCAGATTTCCAACATAGGCAAAACCCGACCGAAGCTGCTACCTTGACGCGGTGGTTGGGCTTGCCTATCGTGATGACCCAACCGAGCTATATTGGCTGGAACATATGTTCCTGTAGGTTCTATCATGCCAGGCAGGTCGATTGGAGAACGGTAAGACTAAAAGCAGTAACTCAAGGTCTGAGGGCGAAGTCGTACTGCTGACTGTAGAGGGGTGTGACAGCAGTAAGGTGTTTCCCTCAGACAACCAGCATCTGCAGCGATGCTGCTTTCTTACAAGGAGGGGTGGGGTTAGAAAAGGTCAACCCTAAAAATGTCACACCTCACCTTACCTCACGGATTTCCGTCTCCGGCGGTAAAGCCCTTTGAAGAACGGAGCTAACACGTCAAAAATCTTCCACGGAAAGGCCGTGCGCGACCGGCCTCAAGCAGTTGTCCCTTGGGCTTTGCGGTCACGCTCCTAGGTCTTCAAGATCAACACTAATCCAATTTTCTTTTCAGGTTCCTCAAGAAATACCCTTCCACTGTGTGGGCAGCCGGGAAGTGATATCAGCCCTCATACTCGTAACAGCACACGAGACCAAGTTGGTCACATTCAAACCCTTCCTACACCTCCTAATACCTCTCTTATCTCCATGACTAACCCTCCTCACGTCTATTTATCACCTCGCACCGCTAGGGCAAACGATTCGAGTACATGGAAAGCTATTCCTGGTCTCCTGAAACCACGCTCTAAACTACACGTAGGAGCTTTTAACGTACGAACACTTTGCCAAATAGGACAACAGGCTTCCTTAGCCTGGACTTTAGAATCTCGCGCCATCGATGTGTGCTGCGTCTCCGAAACGCGCATACGGGATCCGAGTAGGGTCATTCACTTGACCTCATCATGCCAAAACGAAGAACCAAATCGATTCACACTTAGTGTATCTGGAAGTCCTGATGCTGCTTCTCGTGGCCTCGCCGGCGTAGGTATAGTATTGAGTCCTAGGGCAGAACTAGCTCTCTTAGAGTGGATCCCAGTAGACAGTCGTTTGTGCGCTGTCCGACTGAACGGAACAGTAAGGATCCGAAAAGATAGGGACACTCGTCGTTGCCTCTTCGTCGTCTCTGCCTATTCTCCCACTGACTGCAGCTTGGATGATGTAAAAGATGAGTTTTACAGAAAGCTCTCCGACCTCCTCCTAAAAGCTAGGCGCTCTGATGTAGTAATAGTGGCCGGTGACTTTAATGCTCAAGTAGGTAAACTAAGCGATAGGGAAAGACACCTGGGTGGATCTTATGGTGTCGTAGCTCAAAGAACAGATAATGGCGACCATCTGTTGCAGCTATGCTCAGATAACTGCCTGTTTCTTGCAAATAATAACTTTAAACATAAGGAAAAACATCTTTTGACATGGCGAACCCCTAATTTGTCCCAACGTTAGACCCAAATAGATCACATCGCTATCAGCCACCGCTGGAGGGGCTCAATAGAAGACTGTCGCTCATTCTGGAACACATGCTTAGATTCAGATCATACTCTAGTACGAGCGCGTATCTGTCTGCGTCTTATTGGACGTAGGAAAGACGCTGCAAGGAAACCTCTTAGGGGCCTACCTAATGGTAGTCAAGCTAAAAGTATATTTCAGGAACAACTAGGAAAACAGTTAGGCAGCTATGTATGTGATGCCCACCCCGAGGCAGCATGGATATCCGAAAAGCTGTGGAAACAGCAATGATATCTGCTAGTACGGTAACCCGTAAAGTTAGGGAGCATCACTGGATCTCAGCAGCATCTATCGCATCTATCGGAAACTCATTCCATCTGGATCTGAACATAACGAAGAGCGGAGTAAGCTTAAGCGTAAGCTGACAAGAAACCTACGCAATGATCGCGAACACTGGTGGGTAGTGAAAGCAAGAGAGATGGAAAAGGCAGCGGCAATAGGTAATAGCAGACAATTGTTCAGACTCGTTAAGGAAACCGGTATTAGGAAACCGACTGTTAGCGAAACAATCTCAGAGGAAGATGGACATATTATACATTCTCAATCCAGGAGATTGGATCGATGGGCAGAACACTTCAGGGATCAGTTCAACTGGCCTTCAGCCACACTTCGGTTTCCCACGATCTCCAGTCAACCTGAATTGCAAGTTAATGTAGGTCCTCCGTCTCTTTACGAAGTTGAAAAAGCCATCAGAAATCTGAAGCGACGGAGAGCAGCAGGCCCTGACAGGTTTACTCCTGAGATTTTTAAGTATGGTGGTCCAGTATTAGCAATGAGATTAACCGAGGTCTTAGGTAGAATTTGGGAACTGGACGTAATCCCATCTGACTGGCCAGCCTATAAGAAAGGACAAAGGTCCTCTTGTGACAATCACAGAGGAATCAGTTTGACTAATATAGTGTCTAAAATATTCGCTTCAATAATACTTCGACGCCTAACCAAAGCTCGTGAAGAGCAGACTAGAGAAAATCAGGCTGGTTTTCGACCTGGACGTGGTTGTATAGACCAGATATTTACACTACGTCAGGTTCTAGAACACAGACACACATTCAGACGCCCCACAATCGTAGTATTTCTTGACTTTAGGGCGGCATTCCACTCGGTTGATCGTAAGGTTCTATGGCAGTGCTTGTCACTGAAAGGAGTACCAAAGACGTACATTAACCTTGTAAAGGCTCTCTACTCGAACACAACTGGTAGAGTGAGAGCTTATGGCGAACTGTCATCAGAATTGATTACCTCAAGTGGTGTTCGTCAGGGCTGTCCACTCTCTCCATTCTTGTTGAAGTTTGTCGTCGACGTACTTTTAGAGATGACACCTTCCTCGTCTAGATTTCCAGGGGTTGAACTTCTACCGGGAGGTTCACTTGTTGACTTGGAATATGCTGATGACATAGTTTTATTTGGTGAAGCACGCTGACAAAATGCAGAGTCTTCTGACCACTCTAAGCAACAATGCAAGCATGTTCGGGATGCGATTCTCTCCCTCGAAATGCAAAATGTTGCTTCAGGATTGGGTTGCATTGACACCCGAACTAATGATAGGGAGTGAAGTAGTTGAGCATATCGACTGCTTCACTTATCTTGGAAGTCTCATCAACCCTTGTGGTCTGGTGTGTGACGAAATCTCAGCACGGATGCAGAAGGCTCGACTAGCTTTTGCAAACTTGCGTCATTTATGGCGTAGGCGAGATATCCGTCTACCAACCAAAGGACGTGTTTACTGCGCAGCAGTTCGTTCCGTCCTACTTTATGGCAGTGAAACATGGCCGGTAAGAGTAGAGGATATCCGTATGTTACTAGTATTTGATCATGGGTGTCTTCGAAACATTGCTCGTATATCTTGGGACCATGGAGTAAGTAACACAGTTGTCAGGAAACGGGTACTAGGTAAGGATGGCAAATCAATTGATGAAGTAGTGAAACTTCATCAGTTGAGATGGCTGGGACATGTGTTACGTATACCCAACCACCGACTGCCTCGATGTGCGATGTTTTGTTGTATAGGAGTAGGTTGGAAGGAAGCTAGGGGTGGCCAGACCAAAACATGGCACAAGTCCATGAAGTCACTGACAAGTGAACTGAGTCATATTGGTAAATGTAGACTACCTGGTTGGGGACCGCGAGATGATAGCAACCGATGGTTAAAGACCCTGAATGACATGGCTCAAAATCGTTTGCAACGGTGCAGGTGCATCCACTCTTTGTGTTCTCTCAAATTCTAATCTTCTGAATTCTTCATATCCCTTTCTTTTTTTATCTTTCCAAATTTATTTCACTGGATAATACTTCTTGAATAACATCTTCAAACCCTAATTTTTTCTGATTACAGCTTATAATTTCACTACATCTAGCACTACGGGATTTGAATCGACCACCGCATTTCTGTGCTAATGTGGTGTGGCAACTCGAACTGATATACGTACGTACGAAGTTCTACGTCGTTACTGACTGACTGACTGACATAGGCAAAACAGTTGGGTTGACAATCAGCAATTCCCCAACTTTTCCCCTACTTTAGACCCAAAATACTCAAAACGGAAGTTGGCTTAAAAGTTATACAAGGTAGTGGTGCTCGTAATGTAATGAACAATGACACCGGTGGGGAAAGTTGGATTTTGTTAACTTAAAATTACAGAGCATCTCAATAAAATCTGAGAACCATATATCAAAGCGTTAATTTACAAAACGTCCACCACTTTTTCCAAAATGCCTCAGACTTCACTGCCTGTGTCTTTTCATACAAATTGCATTCTATTCCCGCTCTTGCTTTCTTGATCTTTCCTCATCTTCTGCTGCCGGACATTACATTCCTGACTCGCATACTATACTACTTATATCAATATAAGTAGTACGCACCACAGTAACTGTTGCGATGCTTTCTTTCAGAAATATAATATAATTTGATTAGCTTAATTCAGTTGTGCCTGTTCAGTTTCGATGATTTATTAAGTTCTAAAAATTTTGCATTTGAAAATCATTTTCTCAGAATTTAGTCCAAGTTGTTTTAATTTTTTAGAATATTAATATTTCTAAATTAATTCAGACCAATGACGAATAAGGATAATCTGTTATATGAAATTCTAACCATAATATTACTGGGTAAACTCTTTATATTATCCGAAGTTCCACAAAGTTTATGCGAACACTGTAGTCTTTATTTATAACTTAGTTTGTAGCAACTAGTCAGTAAGCATGTTAATATCTATATGTTAATAGGGCTACGTTGTCCAAACTAAGATAAACTATTATAAAGTATTATACTTCTTGTCTTATTGGCGATAAAATAGTAGAATCGTTTTAACTAACCAAGTAGACAAAAAGTCGAGTGTTAATACTGAAATTACCAAAAGGTTCTTAACAAAACTGAATACTGACGCTTTGGTCTGTATTAGCTTTGTGGCTAGCAAACTGGACATAAAACTACTACTGGATCTATTAAATTTATCTAAGCATAACGTTCACAATCATATTTGTACAGTGTTCCTAATAGTTTCTCATTTTTAGATATTACAGAGTATATTCATCCTTTCCTCGTATAAGAACCTCCAATTTGTTGCTTGATCTTCTTTACTGTAGCAAAATTTGCTAGTGTCTCCTTTCGATTGCAGGTCACAGCTCTTACTCTTATTACACGAAGATTTAATTCATTTACAAACAAAACTAGAAAATGAACCAATAAAGTATGGTGAAACATCCATTGTGAAGGTGATTTCATTTCTTACTTTTAAAACATCCATCCAGTCTTTTGTTTTTATGATAACGTCTAAAGAGTGATATCGAATGAAAAACATTCGGTTAAGGGTAACAAAGCGACTTCAGTCTCTAGTTCACAAATACCTTTGATTTACTATGTTCATAATATTTCAGTGAAACATTATGGTCGTATTTAACTGAATACTGTTGGGGATGTTAGATCCCCAGAACTCACTAGGTAAATACCTTATTTTTGTAATTTTATTTTGAAAATTTGAATCGTTGTGTTTTCGCGCCAAAAGCGCTCTTTTCACCTTCATGTCGTATTTCCCACTTGAGAGAATATTAAACGCTATTGGTTCGTTGTATCTTTTAGTATGCTATTTTGTAACGTTTCCCAAGGACAGTTTTGTGCTGTATATATATGTTTGATTTGTGCCTGTTTTTATCGCTCGTGCTTCTGGCTGCTTGCGGAATGTATTTCCCCGTTTGAACTTGGACTTCTCTCTCTAGTTAGCGGGGCTGGGACGCATCAGAATAACTAGTTTATTGGTCTTTGGTCACAGATTCTTTGTTCCGTTCGCAGACTAGGTGAACTCGTAATCGCTTCAAACATAGCAATCACCCTATTTCAATCATTAGGATTCAATTTTCCTTAACAGATGAATATAAATTTTTCTTCTAAAAAACGTTGAAAGCAAGCAATTCTATAGCTTAGTTACTACCAATTACATATAGTAATGTTTAGCTACCTAACGGTCTTTCATCACAACCTGATTGAAAGTATTCTGCCGTCATAAATCAGAAACCGACTATTTCTTGATGAATAATTTTCGATACTACACACTCTCGCCTATTGCTTACTGTAATATTTGGATTTAGAACTTTAGTCAGATCGTTGTTTAGCTGAAGTTTGTAAAATCTAGATCGTATATAATCGACTGCACAAACTTAACAGTTAGTAATCAAGTCAACCATTGGGTTTATGATGTATGATAGACTATCATTAGCAGTTCAGTTGATCTCTCATCATTGTTTATTTCCTGTGGACCTCCTTCTCCACACATATTAAAAATAATGAACAATGTGAACCAGAATATTGTTTAAATTTCTTACTTTCTTAATTGTGTGGACGGTAAAGCCTCGGTATTACACATGGTTTATGATGAATTTCACAATTATATGGATTCAGTTTAAACATAGAGATGAAAGATTCGTCCCATTTTAAAGTTTATCTTCTGTGCATTGAAAAAAAGGAAAATTTTGTCATATAACTAGATGATAGGTAACATGTACGATTCCAGATACTATCCCACAGAGAGATTAGGAAAACAAAAACGTTGAAGTGAAAGATTGTAAATTAGTATCAGTATGGTGTATCTGAAATCTTGACTAAACTTAATAAAACTGACCAATCGAGATATCATATTTATTGAAAATAACTTTTGTAAGAATGGTTAGGTTTGAATCGGTAAATCCCTATAGCTTCACTCAAGCTTTAATCTTGTTCTTTTGACAATGTAGATAGTCTTGAACCATGAATCCCTTGGTGACTGGAGGACTGAGCTACTGATTGATTTACATTCCCATTTTGATTTATTTATATTAAGAGACTTGGATTAAGTTAGACATTTAAACAAGGAATGTAATCATGAGAACTCTGTAAAATTAAAGAGTGAACATGTACTCATTTTTCCTCTACCTTTACATTTCACTGGTATTTTTCAGAATGCGCAAGAACCTTTGGACTTCAGAACACTAGCTGAATCTATTCTGGTAGTGAAAATCAGTCTGGAATTGAAAATTAACAAATTGGAAAAACAGGTGAGGTTATTTTTTATTAGTACTAACTTTACGAAGTTCACCTACACGAAATGGTTTAGCTTACTATCGTAACAGAGTGAATTAGAAAGGTTAAGGTGATGCCTCCCAGAATGCATAGTAGAAGTAGAGCGTTGAGTATGTTCCTTTTTTGCATATAGCTCTTGTTTTTCTATGCATTTTTGATAAATGGTTCAGCAATCGTTTTGCAAAGATTTGTTTTAGTCAAAAATTCCCTATCTATCTGTTAGGTGTCCTCTTTTCGCAATTCTTACACATGCATCTGTTCTTTGTGGACAGATTGAGCAAATGTTATTAATATCACATGGATCGAACTCACATACAACAACCGATGTACCCGATTTTAAAGCAGATAGTGTGATAAATCAATATTGAATCAGCCAGATATCAGAGATTAGTTTTTTGCTTGTTAGTGGATCTGCTATCATGAATATATTCTATCATTTCTGTCGTAATCGTGACTTAGTTTTTATTAACCATAACTCTCACCCCTTTCCTTCACTGCATGTATCTCTTAAGTTAAACCGATTCGTCTGCTTATGTACTTTTTCTGACTATATTTAATCTTCAAATGTATCGGGGAGTTTTATGTAGTCTATATTCATGATTGTTCATTTGTGTTTAGTTTCAAAATTATTTTCTGATTCTTTTAATTCTTTTCAGTATTAATATGAATAACGCTTTAAACTTTTGTTGATTTTCGTTTTTTCTCATGATTATTTTCTTGATGAGCGGGAGAATCGCTGATGACCATTGAGGATTGGCGTTTTGTCCTGTTTGCAGACACATGTGATGGAAACAGTGACTTATACTTTACTTTCAATCGGTTTGTAATTCAGGGAGACAAATCACATGCTCGAAATTCCTATTATTATAATAGAAATTCATCTCGAAGCAGTTTTTGCACTAAGTGTTTGCTTATTTTTTGTTATTAAGAAATGTATTACAGATTTACAGTGTAGAAGGTGTTGATGTTTGCAGTTGTTCGAATTAGAAAATCCAATACCTCAAAGAGATCTATCTAAACCACTTCATTTTATCTCTTAATTATTGTTGTTCACTTTACGAAATTATTATTAATTAAGATGAATGAACAATTGAGAGTCAATGGAAGGCATTATACAATTTATAATTTTTTAAAAATATGCATCATAAGAGGAATGGTGCAATATAATGGATATATTTATATTTATTTCCTAATTATTAAGAGCTTGCATATTTCGTTGACTCAAATAGTCTTATTAATAATCTGGATATTATTGTCCATGTATATTTTTTGGGAGCTAATACCGTCTTAAGAAGACCAAAACATACCTTTTCCTATTTTTTGAGAGCAATCGTCAGGTGATGCGATAACAACTTTTAGAATTGTTTAAAAGTTGTGCATGACTACAGTAAAATTTAGAAATCTTAAGCTGACCCAATGAGAACAAACAGCGTACACAATTAAATATGAGTTTGCTGGAAATATTAACTTCTTTCAGTTTCTCTGTTTTCTCTTCCATGTATTCCAGATATAAAAATGATTTTATGTTATCCTTAAGTTATACTTCTTTTCTTCACTAGCTTAATGTGGAACGTGAAAAGATTCACACCGAAGTTGTTAAACTAAAAGAAATTTGTGATCGCTTCAAAACAAGAGGAAATATATAAACTTAAAAGTTTGATCATTCATTTGTCTGTGTTGTACCAATTAATAAAAGTGTAGTAAATCAACTTTTTTTTTCTCTAGATTTATATGACCTAATATATAAAAAGATTACTCTTTGTTACTATACACCTAACTGTGATTATTCACATTTTTAAGCTATCTAATAAGTACTGAGAAAGACCGACAAAATTATGCCCACAAAAGTTTTTCCCTTGGACACAGTTTTTAAAGTGAAGTTGAATGTCCCGGATTTTTCATTTATCACAAAAAATGGGATAGATATAAAAATTACTCAAACTATTTTTTGGGCAATAAGCAAGTATGTATCTTCATCGTGTATTTATAATCAAACGAATTGATTTCTAAATACAGAGTAATGCTTCTAGTTGAATAAGTTTTGCTATTAGTTAATGCATTCTTTGGCAGACACGTTGATAAGGGCCATATATTGAAACTTGGTTCCTTATTAATGTTTATTCATCAACCGCGAATGTTTCTACTTTGTGGGATTCTTAGTTGCCATAGGGACTTCACCATAATCCGATTGATAATCATTCAGGGAACCCACACGTTGACCATCATCAGACAATCGCAGTAAATAAAACACTAATATGTGTGAACGAAAAGTCTACAATAAGCTTGAATAATAATAATAATAATAATATTATTATTATTATTATTATTATTATTATATAATTTTACTTCTTACTGGTCAATCATCAGTCTTGATGTATAATTATTTACTGGTTGTTTTGAGCAAGTCATCTAAGACGAAAGATTTATCCTGAATTCCATCTTTTAGCTACAACAATAATTTAATGAAAAAGTACCATTTGATTTTCGAACTATTTATAAGTAGTTTAAAATTATTTAAATATACACTTTAATCATGATGTATAGTCAAGTTTGTATTCAACAGTGATTTTATTTTCCACACTCAGAAAATAAAGTAATAATTAGAGGATTCGAAAGAAGAACATGGAAAGATTGTAACTCATTAAGAAAATGTAATTCATGAATTTCATGCAATCAGTTCCCTTTATGAATTTAAATAAAGCAAGAACAAATATTGGTGCAGAATAGTATGAATTCATATTATTTCGAGGTTTCTCGTCAGCAGCTTACAAACCAAAAATGTGATAGAATTTTTTTACATTGAGATAGAGTGAGAACAATTGACATAGATGAGTGTAAATAACTGGGTTACAATAATAACTATATATATATGCTGGAACAGGTCAGAGGTCAAAAGGAATTAATTCGGGTTGAGTGGTGTAATAATGGAATCGAATAATCATAAGATAGGTTACGTAATAATAATTAAATAGAATTTGGAAAGTTAAGATAATTTAAGAGGATCGGGTGGTGGAAATGTGTGAATAATAATGTGGTTTAAGAATTATGTAATAGGGGAGGAGTATAAATATTTTAAAATAAATAAATGAATAAAATAACCCAAATAACCAAAACACAAATAAAGGGTTACCAGGGTAGTGATAAGTTTATTAAAGCCTCTTTTGAATGCGATTCGTAAAATTCATTTATTTGAAATAGAAACATTTGATCACTCATAGCTAAGTACTAATTGATAACAAACTGTGTAAACCACAAGGAAATCACTTTGAAATCACGAAACTAATTTATCATTGATGTACAGAAATACCCTACTTGAGAATCCATAAGAAGATTTATAAATGAAACATTAAAATGACTTCTAACACAAAGCTGTAACAAATAGAACATAAAGATATTCGAAAATCAATAAATATTCCAATTGAAATATCAAAGACAGAAGTTGGGCGAAAAAATATTTTGCTTAACTAAAAATTGGCAATCGACTG